GTAGTTAAGCAAGGTTTACCTTTTTAAAAAATCAATCTGTTTTTCTTCATAAACTTTAAAACCCGCAAGGCATTACACAAATCTGCCAATATTATAAAATTGCACAGAGCAACACACACAGAAACACACAAGTGCATGTACAACTGGTGAAATCTGAATAAGGTTTGTGGATTGTACCAATGTTAACGTCTAGGTTTTGATAGTTATGTGAGATTGTAGCATTGGAGGAAACTGGGTGAAGGGTACATATGACATTTCTGTACCATTTTAGCAACTTCCTGTGAAGCTATAATTCTTCAAAATAAAAAATTAGGAGACTCATAAAGCAAAGAAAAGAAATTTTTATTAAATAACTAGCTTATGCCAAAATGGAATTAATTTTTTCTGATGATAGGCTCAAGATATTTTAGCTGATTTTAACTAATATTATTTACAATATGAAAATTTACTGACAGTATTGAATAGTAAAGATGCTAAAACCATAAGCCATTTTATACAAGGTTTTAAACAAACATTTCTTACAGAGTAACATGATCAAGCTCCTATATAGGTCTAGCAATTACAAAATTATTATGCACATGCGTTAAATTTCTCGGTCTCTTTCATAAATTTATATATGCATTAGAATGGTATTCCTTTGGGCCGACCCCGTGTCTCCCTCGGGAGAGTGCGGCGCTGGGAGCACAGCGGCGCTCCTCCCGCGGGTTCAGATCCTATATAGGGGTGGCCAGTGCGCTCACTGGCTGAGCACGGTGCGGGCGACACCGAGCCAAGGGTTACGTTCCCCTTATCGGTCGCAAAAAGGACAAAAAAAAAAAAGAATGGTATTCCTTTAATTCAAATGAAACAATGAAATTTACCTCTTTAGTGCAAAATGTGTTTGTTTTTGTTTTTGCTGCACAAAGACTCGATTCTGGGTTAGATTTAAGCATACATAGATTTCATTTTCAACTGAAATGAAATGACTGTTGTCCTTGCTCTTGTTGCTTGTTAAAAAAGGAAAAGCTTTTTCACATATATAAGAAGTCGTCAAGTACCACCAACAAAATGTTCATTATTCATTGTGGTATATTCTTTCATAGAAATCTGAATATGTCTAGGAGCAGATCAGTAAATCTCATCCTCTGTATGCTATCACACTGTATTGACAAAGTTCTTCCTCTTTAAAATTGAAGTTCTCAGGCTGAGCAGAAGATTCAGAGAAAGGATGCTTTACCCAATCATACATTTGAGTTGAAAGGGAGGGAAAAGTATTGTTAAATTTTGTTGTGCAGTTTTTCTAAGGGTGGCTTTCAATTAGACTTGAGAAACTTAACTGATTTTCTTCTTCACTCTGAGCCCAAGCAGCAGTGGAAACATTTTTAAGGTTTCCTTTTGCAAGAGATTTCTTTTCGAAGATTGTTTCCTTTTAGGGGCCGGCCCGTGGCTCACTCGGTAGAGTGCAGTGCTGATAACACCAAGGCCCCGGGTTCGGATCCCATATAGGGATGGCCGGTTTGCTCACTGGCTGAGCGTGGTGCTGACAACACCAAGTCAAGGGTTAAGATCCCCTTACCAGTCATCTTTTAAAAAAAATAATAATAAAAAATAAAAAAATGAACAACTGGGCCGGCCCGTGGCTCACTCAGGAGAGTGCGGTGCTGATAACACCAAGGCCACGGGTTCGGATCCCATATAGGTCCCCTTACCGGTCATCTTTTAGAAAAAAAAAAAAGAAGATTGTTTCCTTTTAAACTCACTTATATTTATTATTGTCTTTACATTGTTTTTACTTAGAAAATGACAAGAATATTGTATATAGTAAATAAGAAGGAATTAATTTAAAATCAGTGTTTTACTATCTGCTCACCTATCCTACAGTTGACAACCACGCTCAAATTTTCACATGAGTTTTGGAGGGGACAGCACATCCAAACTCCATCAACTTAGATGAAGACAAAGGAGCATAAAGTAATTTTGAGTGAATATTTTAACTACAAGATTCTATGACAGCATCTACAGGGACTATTTTTAAACTTTTGGTGGGGAAGAACAGTGAATTAAAAAATACTTGCATTTTATCTCTAGCTGAGTAAACTTCCTTATAAAAACCTTTTAGTTAATGTTTTTATAATAGGAAACAGGGGCCCAGAACACATAAATAATTTGTTGTATTAATTAGTTGCTAAGCTAGAACTTAGCTTCAGGATAAACTTTTGTTATAATTAATTTCAGGAATTGTCACAACCAAACCAGGAGGTGACTCATAATTGAGCCACTCATTGAAGTTTAAGCCAAAATTTATTGGCAGTTCTCAGAAGTTAACCTAGAATTTAGAGCACTGTGCAAATTAAGCTCTTACACTGTTTATGAAAAGGTAGGGTTTTTGTTTTTTGTTTTTGTTCTGTGACTGGGTTGTTTTGTTTTTTTAAGGAAGCTAACTTTAGTATTGGTTGGAGATGACTTTCAGAGAAGGAGGATCTGTGTGAAAATATTGTTTTGCTGCTGCCAAAATTATTTTTCTAAAGTACCACTCCAATCTCATGACTTGAGTTATCATTGATGGTTATTTACTAATGCATGTTGTCCAGTCCTACAAATGTGTGTTTTTCTTCTTAATCCTTGTATCACCTCAAACATATCCTTCACTATTCACAATTTTTTCAACCAGAAAATGTGGCATTTGTACTACTCTAATTATCTGTAACCTCTAAAACATTGTGCAGACTATGCATGGAATTTATTTTTTAATATGGATTACTGAATCTCTTCACCTGTTGTTAGACCTGATCATAAAAACAAACACACAAAAAAACACATCGATTTATTTTTTTTGCCAAAACTAAGATGAATTTATGTAATTATATATAAAATAGTTTGCTGAACTAGCAGGGAACTCTTACTAGTCAGATTTATTCAGAACTAAATGTTAATATATGAAGCACTTAGCATAGATATTTGATTACTCAAATGAAAGAATGTATGAATAAATACATGAAAAAGTAGGGAAAATTATTTACAGTTTTCCTTTAGCAAATAAATTGTGTCTAATGGTTTTATGTATACATATGTAATGCCTCTAAAAAGAATTTATACAGTTGCTTTATTCTGAGGCACATATTGTATATAATAAAAGGGCATCCAAAATGATATCATGTAGTATATTTTGCATATGTCTTCCATTTAAATTTTACACTTGGTCTTAGCCAAAAGACCAAGAAGCAATCCATTTAAATTTTAAATGGTTATTTTTGTAAGTCTAGATTCTGGTACCAGTCTAGCTAATTAGCTGTGAAACCTTTCATATGTCTTTTCACCTCTTTCTTTTTTTTTTCTTTTCTCTTTCACTTCTACTGTAGGAGGTGATCTTTTCATTTTTTTCTTATAAAATGAAAGATGATTTTCAGATATTTACAACCTATAAAATTTGAAGATTGTATGCAATAGCAGATGTTCATAGTTAGAGATCTTCAAGTGATCCTATATAGGATCCGAACCTGTGGCCTTGTTGTTATCAGCACCGCACTCTACCGAGTGAGCCACGGGCCAGCCTTCAAGCAGAAAATTTTATTTAAAGTTGTATTTAATTGATAGTGCCTGTAGGAGACTGATAAAAAGAAAGGCAGATATTAGAATCCTTTCTTAGAAGTCTTGAATTCACTCCAGGCTAACAACAATTGTAAGACACGAGCAATTGTGTGATGTGTCTCAATTTTAGAGATGTTGAAATATTGAAAATGAGGCTGGGGCGTGGATCACTCGGGAGAGTGCGGTGCTGATAACACCAAGGCCACGGGTTCGGATCCTATATAGGGATGGCCGGTTTGCTCAC